TATTTCGATAAGATGCGATCGGTACCCATCACGTATGTATTTTTTTGCTAATTAAGTCAATGATATGAGTAGATAAATAAAGTTATCCATCAAGGTCCAAAATAAAATTTCCGATTGCTTTATTTATAATTGCAGTGTTTACTATGCAGACATTGAACAACACACAAATAATTAATGCTTAATTCTTTTATCTCTGTTGTTCTCCACATAAATAAAAGTCAATGTCTTTGATAAGTATAAATGATTTTATATTTATACGTACATTTATTTTAAATTAAAGAGGTCATGAATACAATTAATAAGTAAGTAAGCTTGACTACTAAAAATACCTAGGATTTTTTAGGTTCTAGACGAATTAAGCTCACTCTCAACCAGTCTAACATGATATTTTTATCTTTATTAATGTTTTAAGGTTCCTGTTGAAAATGTGAGAATGATATGCAGCATCACGAAGGATAATACGATGGTAAACATGTTAGTTAGGTCATGAAGAGGGAATATCTCACAGTATGCACATGATCACGTCATCCGACACGTGCCAGCTATTTTGTTAGCGGGGCCTGGCCGCAACTCGCGCCACTGACCGCGTCGCCTTCTGAATTACAATAAGCCCCGTATCGACTAACTTTCTCAGAAATCTACTTACAAGTAAGAGATAGGTCATTTAAAATAGGCTTACAATTGAGCTTAGACTTTAATAACCGTATTATAATGGATCTTAGGAAAATATTCGCATGCGTACGTATTTTATATGTAGATGCAAGCCCGCCCAGGTTTCCCACGGGTGCCATTCCTCGATTTTCCTGTTGAATTTGTTACCTACCTTTTTGAATGAACGAATGTAATAAAAAAGAATCGTCTATATGCTGCATCTTTCAGACGAATGCGTATTAAACATTAGAGCAAATCAATTTAATTAATTGTATCTATTCATTATGATATAATCGTAAGTATAAAACTCCTTTCTTTAATTGTGGAGTTTATCATGTATTGTAAAAAATATCGTGTCGATCGGCATCTTATTAACGTAGATCGAATTGTTATTACGAACTTGAATGTTGTCCTCAATGATAAAATAATACAAGAAAACAACCAGATTAATACATTTTCGAAGATAACAAAGATAAATAAACTAATTAGATGTGATTTTCTCTTCGTACCGTATTAAACTTTAATTACACGTAGAATAATAAGATAAGGGTCGAATGTTGTTAATAATATTGCGTTTATAGAAGCCATAGGTGGTCTTACTCCGATCAGTCATCATAGTCTAAACTTATTTAACAGATTCTATGACGAAAATAAATTAATTAAGACAGTAAAAGAAGCCATTGAAGACTACGTTTGAGATGAAAATGTTTGTATAATTATATTTACCACGGAATAAGTAGACGTTGTGAAAATTGCTACGAAGAGGCGTTAATGTAATTTGCCTTCGTAAATACGTACTTGTTCGTTAAGCCAAGCTCTGCCCATTCAATCTGGGTGCAGAGCCAGCGTGGGCTTCCCTCAGCAAACGCCTTACAATCCCATTGAATAAGCTTTATGAAATTCTGTGGCTTTTGTCATACTACTTTACTGCGAGGATTTATGTTCTAGTTTATGACGTCGAACAAAGAAAACTTTATAAATATAACTTGCTATAACATACATACTCGAGATATTATTTGCAGTAAAAATCGGAAAGAAATTTACTATTATAGTGTGTTAAGGCCGCATTGTGATAGCAGATACTCCAGTATAAAAAGAGCATAAGTCATATTTTTATAGTTTCCATTTGTTTCAAGACTTCTTTAAAATATAGAGGAATTAAAAGCTAAATCAACATACCTACCTATGTATTAATACTACTTTTATTAACATACACATATTGAACGCCACTTTGCATGACTGGTGTAGGTAGCAGAGCAAATATTAAACGTATCACCCTCTTTTGACTTAAGCTTTCTTTGCTGGATAATAAAATGAATTTGTTTATACTTGTATTTGTGAACACATGTGTTTATCTTCAGTATTCAAAATATTCAATGATTTAATCAAATAATTCTATACGCATTTGAAATGTATCTACCCTTTATCTATAGATTAGGAGGTAACAAATATATTTGTACAAATAGTACCTCTATTTTAAGAGTAAATAAGTAACTTATAATATTTTGATGAAGTGTATTTATAGAGGTAACATCTGTTAAATTATCTGTCAGTTACAATATCAGTGATGTTAAGTGTAGTTTTGTCGTGGTGGCCCGGAGGTTAAAACGCCCGCTTCTCATGCATGAGGGTGCGGGTTCGAAACCTACCAACGGCAAGCACCAATGTGACTTTTTTCGAGATATATGTTCTTTCTAAGATTATTTAGACACTACTGACAAACGGTGAAGGAAAACGTCGTGAGGAAACCTGGACTTATAATTTCTAATTATTAGTTTGAAATCGCCAACCCGTAATGAGCAAGCGTGGTAATTAATGCTCAAACCTTCTCCTTGTGAGAAGAGGCTTTGTCAGCAGTGGGAATTTATAGGCTATTGATGAAGTGTAGTTCGATGTGCGTGTACAAAGCTCGCGGTCGTATGAAGCCTTTCCTTCAGGAGCCGACCCTTATGTAAACCGTTCGGGGACACATATGGCACTCCAATACTTACATTATATTGGGATTACACATTACTTACCTTTACTTTCAGTATTCTTTCAGGACCTTTTCTTGAAAAACGACCTACATAAACAACTTTAGCATTACCTGGTGTTAAATGTAAATGCAGTACGTTCTTAGTTACGTAACTGAAAAGATATTGAGAATGACTCGTCCACAATGTGAACTTGGGTACCTACTACTATGCATTTTCTGACTGAAAATATATGTATAATCAAATGCCCGATAAAGTTGCGTTTTATCGTTTTAGAAAACGCATGATTTTATACAATGGAATAGTTTACTATGCAAGCGTGCATGCGAGCATGCGTACCTACATCACAAGTAACTTTTAAAAATAGGTGTATGTATGTAGATACATTTTTTGTATGCACTTTGTTCAGTGCATGTGTCTCTGTTTAGTGAATATATGGATCTACAGGTTTCCGAAATCAGACAATGTGGTAGTTTTATTTTACGTAAGTACTTAGAATAGGTATTAATAACATTATCAAAAATCACCATATTCGTCAAACTACCTAAGACGCAAATTATTTCCATTATCACTATAATAGGTAATAGATGACTACGTAGTTTTCCAGATTAAAGTATAAACTATCGTAATCGCTGATAAACGTTTTCCTTTCGCGTTTACTTTTAGAATAGAGGAAAGACCGGTGTTTGTCGTTTTTCGAAAGCCATTTTAATTTAAATGAAGTGAACTATCAATCACTGGGCTGGATCAATCTATCACCTGTGGGTGCTAACGAGTGAGTCGCGTGACCTCCCTCCCACTATATCTGTCTATTGACACTACATATACGATTATAACATTATTCTCAATTGTCTTGTCTTCCATTGTTTTAAAATGTAAATGCAAAGACTAAAGATACGTAAATAAGTGCCAAAATATGTAATTTAAAGTCATTTTTAAATGTTTTGTCAATAGTGTTCAGTTTACTTTGACTAATTGAAGAAGTTCTTTTCTGTGGAAAATTATTACTTGGTTGTTTATTTTTTTATTTTTACTAGCTACTGCCAACGGCTTTACCCGCGTTCCCGTGGAATAGAAAGTGGCCCATTTGTTATTCTAGACCATAGTCTAGCCCTGTTCGAAATTTTATTTCGATCCCTTCAACTGTCTTAAAGTGAAGAAGTAACAAACAAACAAATATACAAACTTAAGCATTTATAATATTAGTAGAATTCTTGAAAATATTTAGTTTTTCATTCATTTAGTATGTCTGCAATGTACTCAGTGAACTATTGGTCCGCTACTATATAGGAATGCCAATATAATTAACGAAACTACACCACCTTCATATTAGAAGCGTGTTTCTATCTAACTCTGCGGGGAAAAACAAGCATAGTGCTGTGTATGTTGTATTCGACACTAATCAACAGCTAATTAATTATACTGCAGGTAATTTAGCATGTAGATAATATCTAATCACGCGTGATTAATTTTATTTGATCAAATGATGAATCATGTAATCAGATAGATGTCCTTTTACACAATGAACATTATGATTGCCATAATAATTAGCTCATTAAAGTAAACAGTAGCACGAAATCTGTCGCCATTTTCGGTGCAACAATCATTGTAATCAATAAAATGAGTGAATCATAATGAGTTACGATATAATTATGAGATACGTATATAATTCACTATTAATAATTATTCATAAACAGAACTATAAATTCATTACTCATTTATTGTATCTATTCAATAAATTGAAATACCAATATTCACGAAACAATCAAATTTCGAAATCATTAAAACCGAATCCCGCTGTTTCCAAGTAGAGAAGAAAGGACTGTTAATATCGAAATTACTAAAACCAAGATTCATTTATTTCCATTTGTGTCATTCCACATTTTCCGGCGGGAGCGTGGCCCCGTCCCCTCCGTACTCACTGCTGGACTCTCCAAGAATATAAATTACATTTCATTTTACCACTTACAGTATGCGCGTAAGTAATGCCCCTTTCAAATCATTTCAACCTTGCGCATATTTTATTATTCAATTCCATATTTTTGTTAGAATACAAAAATTACATCATCAGTTATTAGACTCGGAGCATTAAAATTTATGAATTAGTAAATTGGTGAAAGCTACCGGCTATAAGTAAGTCTATTTGAAATTCTAAACGTGCCGTACTAAGCCCCAATATTCTGCCTTACTGAGTCAGAAATCAAAACGCTCACAATCACATTATCGTGTCTCGACTTCGTGCCAGCGATTAAATGTCTATTTTAGTTACGCTTAGTTGGGATCCAGTAGTCATTTTAGTAAACACTTATTTATTGAAACTTTAAAAACAATATTATGTGCTTAGGTTATGTCATTGAATCATTATTATACAGAGATTTAGCAAGGAGACAATATGTTTACTGAGCGCTCGTCACTGTAAATGATGTTATTACTTTTATCAAAAGCTACTGCGTATCCGTTATTTACGGGCAATACCAAAGATAGTTGCTTATTTATTTTATTAATTGAATATATTCCATTATGCGCTATAAAGTACGGTGTCCCGAACGCATCCGTCGTAGCTCCACGGATGCTTATATCGTTGCCGTGAACTAGAACTGGCGATTTACTGCCCTTCACCAACACAAACAGTCCAGTGGGATTAATGAAATACAAATCACTTTTACCATCGATTACAAAGTGTTGGATGAGATTTTCCTTTACCTCCGGGACCAAAAGCTTCGTAGTATCTTTGTACTCGTACAGATTTTGTTTCGCTGTGTCTACGAAAAACAGGTTGTTGTGGAAATACATGTCGAATATATCTGTGCGGTTTACAAGCGCGGGTTTATCGATGTCGCTGGTAGAGTAATTGTATTTGAATATGCCATCACTTCCTCCGAGGAAAACTTCACCAGAAGTTTGATTCACGGCACTGGCATACCCATTACGAATTCCGGGCACAATGGAGGCTAACCCAGTGTCAAGATTCAACGCCACAGATTGAAAGCTCTGGTCTGAAAACTCGTCCGCATTTATACAGAAAAACAGAATATTCTTCTTTCGGTCTATTGAGAACTTATATGGAATGTTCGCGTCTGCTAGTATTACATTCCTTTTGTGTGTCACACCAGATATCACGACATAGTCTTTCGTATCAGTAATCATTGTTGTATAATCATTGTGAAACAAACACGACAAAAAATTTGGTATGTAACAAAAATACTACACGAACGAACGCTGATTGATTTTTTAATAAATGACATGTGCAATCGATGACACTGATATGGCAGTAGACTATCGGACTTAAGCAAAGAGTCGACATTTACATTTACATGTAGCTTTTGGTGTAATGGCCACACAATAGCTACACTCTGTCGAATCGTCCTCTATTTTACATACAAGTTGATACAACTAAATTTGCTTATAATGGCGTTTTACTTTCATTTTCTGAACATAGTAGGGCATCCTAAATAAAATATTTACACATCTGCCCTTACGGAAAAAAGTAAAAGTGTTATTTCTCCGTTCTTTGAAGATTGAAAAACATTTATGTTATCAATGAAAACTGATTATAATTATACAAGATTTTCTACGAGATAAAATCTATCTACCGTAAATGTGATAATATGTATAATGTTTATTTTCATTATCGAATCAGATGATTAAATACTACAATTAATTAATCTAAAACATATTAGCGCGTGTAGAATTTGAACCAGCGACCTCGAATGTCCGATACCAAGCTTATATTCCGCCAATAACACCGCTACATTCACTCGCGGTAGGCAGAAGATACCTACTTATCAAATTTCCATGCAAACTATCTTAATTACTCCGATATGAAATCAACAATACATCGAAAGCATAGTCATAGACCAAGGTCTGTCCTTCCAGATGAAAGACACTTAGCAACACGTGGTTGACTACGATACTTTTTGTTGGATAGTGTAGTGATGCAACCATGGGATGTTCAAAACAAATGATCCGACAGAGAACTAAAGTTATCGACAAACTGGGGCGACAAACAATGTGGGGCGGTCACATTTGTCGAACAACCAATAACGATTGGGATGAACGTGTTGATTGAGGAGACCGCGTATAGGCAAACGCAATGTAAGGCGCCCTTCAGCTAGGTGAAGTGACGACATCCACAAGCTGGCAGTAGTTGGATGAGAAGGGCTAAAGACCGAGCTCAGTGCCATTGGAGAGGCCTATGTCCAGCAGTGAACAAATACAGGCTGATGATGATGAAACAAAATTATTCATATTTACTTCGTACTTTTATTCTTTTGTCCATAAATCCGATAACCATTAACCTAAACACTAGCGTCAATAGCTTTAATAAGATTAATTATCCTATCGTAAACTAATTCTTTGGCGTTGATACCGTAGTTGAAGTCGACATGGCTGAAGGAGGCCATGGGTACTCTAAGCTTAGTAGGTCTAGCAAGTTCCCGGAACAGTCTGTCAACATCGTTGACGTGTGCTAAAGGATCACTATCGGAGTAATGAAGGAACACTGGAGCGGTCACTTTAGATAAGTCGTAAGGCGGAGGCGTGAAGGATCCATAAGCTCTGTAGTTTGCTAATCGGGATCCTTGGTCGTAGCGACGGAAATGACCGGCAGCTATTCCTTGGCCGTAGTGAGCCAGCTGTCTCACAGATATACCAGCTGGTGCGTGTCCCATAATGACCGGCAACATGGTCTATAACAAAAATAATATTAACTGTACTATCTAGAAAAGTCGAATAATATTGATAATATAACTTATTTTCATTATTAACCCCTATACTCTACTGTCTTTATTGAAACTTGCTGTTGCTATACGATAAGAAGTCAAGATTTGATTGCTAGATTTGATGTATAGTTACCAGATAATGAATTTGGTTCTATGTCTAATAGTAATAAGAACATACCGCATTATGCTGCTCTACGTTCCATCCTCCCATTATCATGATTACAGCACTACATATAGGTTGAGTTAAAGCATCGTCGTTACAGTATTTGGAACCAAGTTGTTGAGTAAACTCATTGCTAGGCAGGAACTCGCCAATACCGATTAACGATGCAAGGCTCTGAAAATTTTTAAAATGTATAAAAACATTGAAAAACCCACTAAAATAAAATAAAATGTACCGACATAGATAGGTGGGTAGACTTACTTCAATTCTGTTTGCATGTGGTGATATGAAGTTAAGAATGGGGCTCTGGTTGTGAGCCATATAAGCTACTGGTGCCATTGCGTGCATTGAGATAATTTTAGAATTGTACTCCGGTCGCATGGCACCGAAAACAAAGTAGGACGTCGTGCCCTGCGAGTGACCGATGTAGTGAAGCCCCTTTTCTCCAGACACAGCCAATGCATAGTCAATCATGGCTGGTAGGTCCTTACTGCCGATTTCTTCCCAAGAGAATTTCCAGAATGCTGTGCTCAGTAAAGCGTCAGGGTTGAGTCTGACATGCTTACGAGAGTAGTAGTTACCGCGAGCGTTGCCCATCCACACGTCGTATCCTTCCTCAGCAAGGACATAAGCTACAAGTACATAATGAAAAATAATTTGTCATACACCAAGTATGTCATATTGTTCGTTTGATAACGTCATTGGAAAGAAGAGCGTGGGTTTGACTTAACTGGATAAAGAAAAACAAAAGTAACTTTCAAAGGTAACGCCATAACATCTCGTACCTACTTAAACTCATTCCCTTGGGGTATTTAGGCACTTAGAAACGACAAATGTCACGTGTATCTACGTCCGTGAGTTTTGTCTATGTTTACTATAGAAGTAAATTAGGTTATAATTACTATTTAAGCCACACCTAACCTTCAACTTGCACTTCTAGCCTCGTACTTTCTCGCACTCGAACGTTCTCCAACAGCGAACTTTAAAGCTATCTGAGCGTAATACAACCAAAAACTAAGTATCTCAAAATGAATGGACCTGTTCCTCATAAAAGAAATTATACCGTAGTATATTCTTACCCAAAGCTCGGCCTGGACCGAAAATAACATAGTCAGCAGATGAAACAAGCATTCCGTGCATAAGAAACACCACAGGTTTCCTTTGATTCGGTACATTGTTAGCGTCACGGCCGTGAGGAATGCGGTGCATCTCCAATATGTAGCCATCTTCTGTCGTCACTGAGTGCACTTCGACTGGGTAACGATATTTTCTGATGAGATCTGGCTGCAATAAAACAAATACTTTTGTTTTATGCATAGTGACACACGCCAAAGATACACTTTGTGAGCAGAGTTCTCAGTCGATGAAAATACTTAATATTGTTAGAAAAAAATTATTAGAATTTTACAACTCACCACATCAAGAAGTGCGTCTTCGAGTACATTGTCCGAAAAACGCGCGTTTACGTCTTTTACCCATTTTTCCACAGTGTCAGCGTTGGGTGATCTCCTGGCTACAGCCAGAGAGACACATGTGGCTACTACTAACAATCCTACACGTAACATGGCGCAAACACTCCGGGTCACTCATTGTGAGTAATGCTCAAATCCGTGTTTTATAACTTCTGTTTCCCGATAAATAAAAATTAAGCTCTGATAAGATTGCAATCAGTAACCATCAAAATCTAGATAATATACCCAAATATTATCATCAAAATAGAAAACGTACTGTAATTCGGTGAGTAAGCGCCTGCCTACCTAATACTGGGCGGCAAGTGTCTGTATATGAATGTTTAATCGCTACAGTACCTTTTATCGAGCTACTACGTGTCATGCATAATTGTTCATTAAATCCCTGTTTTACTACTTCTTGTTAAGCTTTGGTTTGTCTACAAGCGAATAATAATTTGACATAATATGTATTTAGATTTACCATGCCATTGGAAAAGTCGATTATATATGTTACATTTACGTTTATTAAAAAAAATCGAGTTTCAACTTATTGTCCACTATATAATATTTTCGATACACTATGTTCGATTTTCCAAATTTAATGATTGACTTCTCATTTTTTCCGATATAGACGATTTTTATATTCAGCCATAATTTCCAAAAACCATATTGACTTTTTCGTATCTCCATCATATTATCCCTATTTGAAACAAACTTAAACATCACAAATACTACGACAAAAGATCTATTCAGAAACTGAAATAATTTAATTCAACATCTGAATTAAATTCCAGTTCAACACAGAACATGAAATCATTTCATGAAACCGACGTTACGTATTAACAAAACAGTTTTAAAGCAATTAGCAATGCCATTTTGCGGCAATATAATGAAACTAAATTGCAATAATAGAAAATTGAAATTGAAACACTATTTACTGTCTCATTTCGGTTAGCTGACCGTGTGGAATTAACAGCCTATGTACGGTACATAACATGAAGGGTTTCTTCTCAGTGTAGGTAAGTAGATAAAGATAACCTTAATTGAGTTAATAAAACTGTTTTTTTTTGCCCCACATTAGGATTTTCTCCTGTGTCGTGGGTGTGTTTACAAACATTCAAGTTCACATACACAATGACACCCAGACCCGAAACAACAGTTTTTGGATCAAACAAGTGTTGTTTCGTGCGGGAATCGAACCCGCGACACGTTGCACGGCAGCCGGTTGCCGTGCAGTCTAAAGATCTGCAGCTGTAGCCAAATGCCACTTAACGCTTGTCTACATGTAGAATAGAAAACCAAATTATATGGAATTGACGTGAATTTTGACACTTGTCAGTATCATCCCCATACATTTTGATTTCTACTCTCTCTGTAGACAAGCGCTAAAGTGGCGTTTGGCTAAAGGCCCTGATTTGAATAAAGAATTGAAATGATTACAATAGGGTAGATGACAAATTTTTATTTTAATGTGCGTCTGGTAGATTATTTTAAAACATTTTTTATTTTTACAGAAATGAATACTTTCGCCGTTTTATTGATTTGAAATATCGCGTGATGTCACTTCTATGTACATTTTATACGTAGAAATGACGTTTTAATCCCACTCCTAAAGTTTTCGTTATATCTAAGTATCATTTTATTATACAACAAAATAAAAAAATACGTGTCTAATATTTTCATTACTTAACTGACGGACTAATTGGGTTTTTAATTTTCATACCCTGTCATCATCCCTATTAATACCTAATATTAGTTTTATTGACGCGTTAATGGTATGCGAGCGTTACCAGAAAAAGTAACCTCTGTGTTTTTGCACATTACATTCAATTATGACCTTTACAAAGATCCACTCGATTGCATAGAACAACATCTTCAACGTCCAACCATCTGTTAAGCTTCGTTTACATTATTATACATGTATATCACAAGAAAATAAACAAAAATTTAATTAAAAAAAAAACCACACTTGGATTTTCTCCTGGGTGCGTTTACAAACATACAAGTTCACATACACAAGACACCCAGACCCGGAACAATAATTTGTGGATCACACAAAGAGTTGTTCCGTGTGGGAATCGAACCCGCGACACGTTGCCTTGCAGCCAGGTGCCCAACCACCGCGCCAGCCGTGCAGTCTATGTAAGTATATATGTAAACATGTATATACATATTGTATGTAGGTATTATTTAATTTATTACATGTATAGATAAAATACGCTATCATTATGTAGCATTAATTAGATTTTACGATAACATTAATATTTGTGATTTAAACACTGATACACAGTTCTAAACTACGTAGCAAGTGTTTAGATGTTTAGAAATTAGATATGAAGTGTATCACCAGTACACAGAACCAGCAGAACCTACGTAATTATTTATTAACAGATATCACAAAGCTTATATTATTTAATCTCTGAAATAACTTGTTATTGGTAAAAAAATATTTTCGCATTCCAAGAAACAAACAAAGGTTTTCTCAATTTGACCTTTTTCTTTAAGCTAACAATTACTGTTATTATTAGTACAATACAGTAATAAGAAATCTTATTTATTACGGCTACAATAAATATGGCTGACTAGTCTATATATAAATTATTTTTTAAGTGTGTCGAAAATCATCCATTTCCTTCTCCCAATGAGGCGAGTGTGTGTGAGTGAGTGGCAGACTCTTACTGACTCAAATCCACATCGTTTCTAGTCGTGTTTTAAGTTGGAGCCCCGGTAACCCGTTAAGTATTCACCAGCTCCAGAAATACATATAATAAATTCAGCTTATGGAGTTTTTCTTTTTCAATTAATAAATAGGTTAAAATTGGGGCTGGTTCCACCAAGATAGCGGTCCTCTGAGGATGTGTCTCTTGCTGTAGTTGGTTCGTATAGAAAATTATTGTAAAACTTACTTCCCACAGAATAGACAACTGATTCCTTTAGACAGTCGTATTTGTCAGTATTTTTAATAAAAAATGTCATATTAGGATGTAGACGACAAGTATCAATATGACTTTTACGAGTTATATGTAAGTACTTTCTAAAATTATTTATATTTAGACGCCACTGACAAACGATGAAGGAAAACATCGTGAGAAGACCTGGGCTTATGATTTCTAATTATAGGTCTAGAATCGCCAACCCGCATTGAGCAAGCGTGGTGATTAATGTTCAAACTTTCTCCGTGTGAGAAAAGGCCTTCGGAAGGGACTTCGGAGTTAGTTGGTCGTTTGAGAAGATCCGGTTTTAGTGAGATAAAAATCCTAAACTCTCTCTAGTCTTTCGCTTTAAAAACCCCTAGTGTTTTAAAGACCTTTTGACAGATTCCTCGTCACAAAATAAAAACCTTGTACTGAAAGGTCTAGAAGGACAACTGTTGGGACTGACAAATATTTGTGATTTATGTATCATCCTTCATCATCATCATCAATCGAAAGACGTTCCCCTGCTAAACACAGGCCTCTAAACGACTCGTATTTTGTACTACAACTTTAACATCTAACTACTGTTAGTCCCAAGGTGTGATAAAATAAAAATTCTTAGTTATATAGCTACATCAAGATACAGCCAGTAGCGGTGTAGCTCGCATCTAACATTTTATATTTTATAGATGTTAAAAATATACTTAAGAACTACAAAAGGTACCGTGTTAGTAATTTAAAGGGTATATTTTTATTTAACATTTTTTTATTTAGCATTTATTCGTTAAACATAATAAATAATAATTATGTACATAGTCTTCAAAGATCTAATTTTTATATTCGGTGATTTAATTTTCTTCTTCGTAGGCATTGGCATCCATTGCTCTAATTAGATTGATCATTCTGTTGTATAGTAATTCTCTCGCATTAATGCCGTAAATAAAATCGAGATGGCTAAATGTGCGTTGAGGGATCCGGAACTTTCCCATTGCTCTACCAAGCTCTCTGAACAGCTTGTCAACATCATTGACATGGGCCAACGGGTCACTGTCGGAGTAGTGGAGGAACACTGGTGTCGTTACTTTGGATAAATCGTAGTTCGGTGGCCTGAAGGAACCGTATGCTCTGTAGTTGGAAAGCCGGGAGCCGTGGTCGTAGCGACGGAAACCTCTGTCAGTGATCCCTTGACCGTAGTGTACGAACTGTCTAACTGATGCACCAGCCGGCGTGTGACCGAAGATAGCAGGCATCATTGTCTGTAACCAGCAAATGAACAATGTTTAAACATTCCTTCATGATAATAATAAAACTACAATTCTGTTGCAGATAATATATATATGCCTCAACTTACCGTATTATGTTGGTCTTCGTTCCATCCACCAATCAAGAACAAAATGTTACTGCAGAGGGGCTGGAATATTACTTCATCGCGACACATAGATTGGCCGGCCCATGTGAAGATGACACTGTTAGGCATGAACTCACCGATGCCAATCAAACGAGCAATAGTCTGAAATAAACCAAGTGGGATGTCAAATAAAAAATCGAAATGCTTGAATAATAGTTATAAAAAAAATAAAGTTCAACTTACTTCGATGTCATTACCATAAGAAGCTAAAACCCTCAAAAGTAGGTTTCTGTTATTGGCCATGTAAGCAACTGGAGCCATGGCGTGCATGGAAATAATCTTAGCATTGTATTCCGGTCGCATGGACCCCATAACGAAGAAAGACGTAGTACCCTGTGAGTGACCGATGTAATGCAGCCTCTCTTGTCCCGATGCTTCAAGGGCATAGTCTATCATAGTGGGCACGTCAATGTTGCCTATTTCATCCCAAGAGAACTGCCAGTACGCTGTACTCAGCAAAGCGTCAGGGTTCAGCCTGACGTGCCTGCGAGAGTAGTAGTTACCGCGAGCATTGCCCATCCACACATCAAACCCTTCTTCGGCAAGGATATATGCTAGAAAAAGAGTTATTTTTGTAATTTCTCTCGAAAATTAGATCAGTCACCTGTGTCCACAAGTTGTCAAATGTGTAAACTGACCTAAACCAGAGCCGGGGCCCATAATGACAAAGTCAGCAGACGAAGAAAGTAGACCGTGCATGATGAACACGACCGGCTTTTTCTGATTCGGTACATTGTTAGAGTCGCGTCCGTGAGGGATGCGGTGCATTCGCAAGATGTAGCCATCTTCTG